AAGTACATGAGTCCAAAAATTATGGAAAAGTAAAAGAAAAGATTCTTTCATTGTTTTACAAACCCTCCCCCAGGTCCCCTCCACCATGTAGCCCTCGCCCTTTTGATTCTTCACTGAAGAGGTGATATTTTGGTCCTTGTCAGTCACTGGGCTTTTTAGGGTCTGGGAACTGTATCTTTGTACCATCTAGATTGGAAGTACTTTTGTATTTATCATTTATCAACAGTGTCACCAATGTCACCTCTAAGCATAACTCCCCAGGCAAGTATTTGCTCCACTGGGAGGTCCTGACATGACCATCTAATGTTTACCTTCTCTGTACAAGGTGGAGTGATTCAAACATATAGCAAATGATTAACTCTGTCATACTCATGTCTTAACAGCACAGGATGTAATGTACTGGATCATAGCACCAGGCACAGTTGCATTGTTTTAATACTCGCTAGGAGACCCACCAAGATATCTAGAGGTGGCATATTGGGTAAGGCATTGTGCTGTGAAACCAAACTCAGGTGGTTTGAATCCACTTCCAGCCATTTTTATGCTTCCATTGAAACATATTAATCACCTAGTCACCCTTGAGTGAAAACAAAGATCAATTACTATATTGTTAGAGAGCTCTGAGGCCCTGGTGGGTAAGGCCTGTGCTACCAGCCCATGTGCATGTGTTTTGAGTCTACCAGCTGCTCCATGGGAAAAAGAAGGGAAATCTCCTCTCATGCAATTTACAGCCTCTGAAAACCTGCTGGAGAGGCAGTTATGAGTTAATGCCAACTCAACAAGATATAACAATACCCTAGAGAAGCCTTATGAGAAGAGGGTACAATGATTAAGTACTCACTGTTAAGTGTTCTGACAAAAGGTCAGACTTTAACATCACCAATCAATGAATGGAAGGAAGAGATACGATTGTGTTTCTAAGATTATAGCATGGGAAATCCTGTGGGGTCATTCTACTATGTCCTATGATGTTGCTATCAGTCAGAATTGACTCAGTGGCCATGGATTCTAGGTTTGATTTTCAGCGTAAGTAAAGAGTTTCTGGGAATGCACCCTTGTCTTCTCCTTACCTCTTTTGTTTCTTTTCCCCATAGCATTTCTTTAAATTTCAGATAAATCATTAGTTTTGCATATCCCTTTCATCTTAACTCATTGTCATAATATTTTTCAATTTCATTTTAAGAAGAAAATACCCAGATAAATTATAGAATAAATAGTTCATTTCATTTTTATTTTGATCATCACTACATGAGAAATCTTGAATCATCTCTCTCACTAGAAATTGAACATCCAAATTTTTGTAAAGAATGGGAAAAGAGAATTATTATTTTATTTAGAGCCATAGTTGTTGCTATTATACTATGAAAGAAAAAAGTGAAATTTCAACTTATATCAAGTTTATAATCTACCTTTAGAATTCAACTTTCGACTCAAGATGTCTAGGAAACAATTGTACCAAAGAGAAAGAGTTTATTTAAGGATTTACTGCAGAATTCAAAACAGATGGTAGTGATTTATTGAGCAAGCTGATGGTAGGCCTCCTGGCCCAGGCACAACACACATAAGACATTAGGACAAATAGTCTTCATCACATTGTTGTGGGGTGCGTCAAATCAACTTGAACTCACAAGAATCCTGGATCTGACAGAACAGTGCCCAGTCCTGCTTCATTTTCACAAGTACCTCAGTTTCTGTGCCCATTGGAGCAAATGGGCCGGCATATCTTGTTGAAGATATTCTTGGTTTTGGCCATGCTATG